GCCTTCTTGAACTGTTGCATTCCACGTGTGGAATCACCATTGTCCCTCCTGGCCCCATAAGGAGAATTTGTTATCAAGAGTTTTTATTTTTTTACTGTCAGTCCCCTTTTTGGCATCTATTTACTCCTCCCATCGTTTCACTTGATGGGGAATTAATTGTTTTACTCAAGCCAATGAGTTGAATTTTTCACTCAGTTCTCCAAGCTAGGATCTAATATCATTCAAGATCCCCATCAGTCTTAAAAACCGAAAGAACTGCGGATGCTGTAAATCAGGAACAAAAACAGAAGTTGCTGAGCTTCCAGCAACTTCTGTTTTTGTTCCCTATCCGTCTTGCCTGGGTCCAACTGGCACTCAGAATTCTTCACTTTAAAATTCAGAACAAATATTTTCTAGCACCTGTTCTTAAAATTTTCCATGAGATTTGGATGTTGCTGGAAATTGCGGCATTTGTTGCCCATCCCTAACTGCCCTTGAAGTTGGTTATGATCCTCGTTCTTGAACTGCAGTAGTCATGTGATTCAGGTATTTCCATAATAGTATTCGGTAGGCTGGAAGTTCCAGGATTTTGAGTTTCCAATTCAGGACTGACTTCGAGGAATATATGATGGTGTTTGCGAACATTTGCCCTTGTCCTTTTTGGCTGTAGAGGTTCAATTTGCTTTGTGCTGTTGAAGCACTGGCAAGTTGCTGCAGTGCAGTTTGGATGGTACACGCTGCTGCTTTGTGGATTTATTAAAATCAATCTGTTTAGACATATGCCACCTCTGGGGCAAGTGGAACTTCAATCTGTGCCTTCTGCGTCAGAGGTAGGGACACTACCACTGCCACATTTGACCCCTGACTATTGGATGCTGATCATGGACTTGATACTAGTTAAGTAGACTGCATTGTCCCAGATGTCACTGAGCCCCTTGTATGTTGTGGAGTTGCATTCATCATACACCTGACTTGTGGTTTGCATTTGGCAGAAAGGCTTCAGGGAGTCAGAAAATTGTTGTTCGCTCTAGAATTTCCAGTCTCTGACCTAATCTTGTAGTCACTGTATTTATACGGTTGAAGCAATTCAGATTCTGATCAGAATCTGACTGCGAGGATGTCAGTAGTGGGGGATTCAGCAGTGGTCATGATGAATAACATTGTGGGGAGACTGTATGAATGTGACTTGCTAGTTTCGGTATCTGAAGAGTTGCAAGCAGTACTAAACACAGCAAATGTCAGACAACATTCCTAGTACTAATTTTGGACCTTAGTATAAAAAGAAAGTCGTTGAAGCAACTGAAGTTAGTTGGGTCTTGGATGTAGCTCTAAAGAACATCTGTAGCAAATGATTGGCCTCCACAACCACAAGCACCTTTCTTTGAGCCAGCCATTGAAAAGTCTTTTTTATTGCTGACATCTATTGACTTTTAATTTTACATGTGCTGTCATGCCACATTCTGTCAAACACTGCTTTGATGTCCAGGCAGTTACTTCCAACTTACCACTAAAGTACAACTCTTGTCCATGCTTGCATCATGGACATGGGGAGGTCTGAAGCTGTGTGGTCAGAGTGGAATCCAAACTCGTCACCACTGAGGAAATTGTTAGTGAGTAATTGCTACTTGATAGCACTGCTGACATTTTCCATCTTTTAATGATTGAAAGAAGATGGATGGAATGCTAATTGGCAAGACCGGGTCTTTCATGCTTTTAATGAACAGGACATACCAAGGTAGTCTTCTACTTTGTTGGATAGATGCAAATGTTGTAGTTATACTTCAATTAGCCATTTCTGGAGTACAGATTTTTTAGCACTGCATCCAATGTTGTCAGGTTCAATAATGTTTACTGTATCCAGTGTGTTCAACAGTTTGATTCACTCCCAGGTAATATTAAAAACAAACTAGGATTGGTATCTGACAGTTGGGACTTTAGGGTTAGGCAAGCTGAACTATCTACTCAGTCCTTCATGCTGAAATGTTTGTAACGCTTCATCTTTACCCTTTTGCTTTTGATCCATTCGTTGAGTTAATTTTGTTTTGTCCAAAGCATGCTGCTTCTGTTATTCGGCTAATCCTGCATTGTGGCTTCACCAGGATTGCATTTCATTCTTTAGGTACACCTGGTGCATTTTCCGGCCTACTCCCAACATTTCCTATTCAATAATCCCCTGTCTGACAGTAATCAGGCCATGATGGACCAGGTTAAGTTCTGCAGTCTTCCACATCCAGTTATGAGTGGTAGTGGAATATTAAGCAATTGATAGAAGTCTCCACAAATAACTGTCTATTCTGCAAGATGTAGGAGCCCAGTACATCCGTGCTCAAAGCTAAGTGAAGCATTTCACTTAGGAGAGGCGCTAAATGAATATTTTTCGTCAGTATTCACACAAGAAAAAGACAATGCTGTCGAGGAGAATACTGAGATACAGGCTATTGGACTAGACGGGATTGAGGTTCATGAGGAGGTGTTAGCAATTCTGGAAAATGTGAAAATAGATGTCCCCTGGGCCGGATGAGATTTATCCTAGGATTCTCTGGGAAGCTAGGGACGAGATTGCAGAGCCTTTGGCTTTGATCATTATGTCATCATTGTCTTCAGGAATAGTGCCAGAAGACTGGAGGATAGCAAATGTTGTCCCCTTGTTCAAGAAGGGGAGTAGAGACAACCCTGGTAATTATAGACCAGTGAGCCTTACTTCGGTTGTGGGTAAAGTGTTGGAAAGGATTATAAGAGATAGGATTTATAATCATCTGGAAAGGAATAATTTGATTAGGGATAGTCAACACGGTTTTGTGAGGGGTAGGTCGTGCCTCACAAACCTTTATTGAGTTCTTTGAGAAGGTGACCAAACAGGTGAATGAGGGTAAAGCGGTTGATGTGGCGTATATGGATTTCAGTAAAGCGTTTGATAAGGTTCCCCACGGTAGGCTATTGCAGAAAATACGGAGGCATGGGATTGAGGGTGATTTAGCGGTCTGGATCAGAAATTGGCTAGCTGTAAGAAGACAGGGTGGTGGTTGATGGGAAATGTTCATCCTGGAGTTCAGTGACTAGTGGTGTACCACAAGGATCTGTTTTGGGGCCACTGCTGTTTGTCATTTTTATAGATGACCTGCATGAGGGCGTAGAAGGATGGGTTAGTAAATTTGCAGGTAACACTAAAGTCGGTGGAGTTGTGGATAGTGCGGAAGGATGTTGCAGGTTACTGAGGGACATAGATAAGCTGCAGAGCTGGGCTGAGAGGTGGCAAATGGAGTTTAATGCGGAAAAGTGTGAGGTGATTCACTTTGGAAGGAGTAACAGGAATACAGAGTACTGGGCTAATGGTAAGATTCTTGGTAGTGTGGATGAGCAGAGAGATCTTGGTGTCCATGTGCATAGATCCCTGAAAGTTGCCATCCAGGTTGATAGGGTTGTTAAGAAGGCGTACTGTGTGTTAGGTTTTATTGGTAGAGGGATTGAGTTTCGGAGCCACGAGGTCATGTTGCAGCTGTACAAAACTCTGGTGTGGCCGCACTTGGAGTATTGCGTACAGTTCTGGTCGCCGCATTATAGGAAGGATGTGGAAGCATTGGAAAGGGTGCAGAGGAGATTTACCAGGATGTTGCCTGGTATGGAGGGAAGGTCTTATGAGGAAAGGCTGAGGGACTTGAGGCTGTTTTCGTTAGAGAGAAGAAGTTTAAGAGGTGACTTGATAGAGACATACAGGATGATCAGGGTGGACAGCGGGAGCCTTTTTCCTCGGATGGTGATGGCGATGGCTAGCACGAGGGGACGTCGTTTTAAATTGAGGGGTGATAGATATAGGACAGGTGTCAGAAGTAGGTTCTTTACTCAGAGAGTAGTAAGGGCATGGAAAGCCCTGCCCGCAACAGTAGTAGACTTGCCAACTTTAAGGACATTTAAATGGTCATTGGATAAACATATGGATGATAATGGAATAATGTAGGTTAGATAGGCTTCAGATTGGTTTCACAGGTCGGCGCAACATCGAGGGCCGAAGGGGCTGTACTGCGCTGTTATGTTCTATGTTCATTTACAACCATCTTCGGCCAGAAGTACCCTGTGGATGATTCATCTTGGCCTCCTATTGAGGCCCCAGCATAAAACATCTTTAGCCTTTAGCTCAATCGATTCATTCCATGTGATGTTGAGAAATGACCTGGGTAAACACTGTGGACCTCGACAGTATTCTGTCAACAGAAGACGTGGTCAAGAAGTAAATGCATCTCTAGCCAAACTGTTTGTGCTGCTACAACATTGTCTTTGGCAAGGTAGAAAATTACCCAACTCTCAACTGTCCACAAAAAGCAGAACAGCTCCAACCCTAGCCAGTTGTTAACCTATCGGTTCACTCTCCTTCATGAAAAGTGATGGGAATGGCCATTGACAGTGCTATCAAATGGCACTTAATCAGCAATAACCAGCTCAATGACACTCAGTTCGGGTCCCACCAGACACTCTCAGCTCCTGACCTCTTTACACCCTTGATGAAAACATGAATAAAGAGTAAGGTGAGAGGGATTGCCTCTGTTATCGAGGCACTACTTGACCGAAAGTGGCATTAAGGAGCATAAAATGGCTGTGGGGCAGCTGGCTTTTCTTAATATAGCCTGTGACTGATATTGTGCTGGGGATGAGGGGCAGGGAATGTGTTAAATCCAGCCTACTTTGGTGGGTCCAGTTTAATTTCATATCAAGGACTCATCCTTGCTAGAATGTTGATGGTGAGATTTAAACAATGGTAATGTTGTTGACCATCAAGAGGCGATAGTTGTACTTTCTTAGTACAGATAGTCATTATCTTAGTTAGACAGTACTTGTGTTCTTTCCACTTAGTAGCAAAAACTAGATTAGATTTTATCCAGGTCTTGGTGCATGCAGGTATGATGACTTAGACATCTGAAAAGGGCTGGTCACTGAAGTCTAGAGGCTATGTAACCTTTTTTGCTAAGTCTAAAATACCTGTTTTAAGGATCTTTATTTATACCATTCTCTTTTCATTTGCATGTAAGCGCCATGTTGTAACACAGACAGGTGGGAACCGGAAATTCAAGTGCACTGAATGTGGAAAGGCATTTAAATACAAGCATCATCTAAAGGAGCACTTACGCATCCACAGTGGTAAGTATAGAACTATTTTTGGTCCTTTTAGTGCTTCAAGTAGATGGCAAAAGAGGCAATTATACAGGACATTGGTGAAGCCACAACTGAAAAACTGTGCAGCTTTGGCCTCTATATCTGACGAAGGATGCTCTTGCAATAGAGAGGGAGTGCAATGAAGGTATACCACCAGATTGTTTCCTTGAATGACAGGATTGACATAAGAGGAGAGATTAAGTTAATTAGCATTGTATTCACTGGAGTTTAGAAGAATGGGTCGGGGGGTGTCGTAGACACTATGAAATTTTAACAAGACTAGACAGGTTAAATACAGAAAGGATGTTCTTGATGGTGGTGATAACCAGAACTAGGGGTCGTAGTTTAAGGATAAGGGTAGTCATTTTAGAACTGAGGTGAGAAATGTCTTCAGTCATTCTTCATTCGTTCTATTGAATGAAAGAGCAGGCACGAGGGTTTGAATGGCATATTCCCATCTTCTGTCTTTCTGTGCAACATACTTTATCCTCCAAATAGCAAATTGCTCGCAGCCATTTATCTGTCTGTGTCGTCTTCTCTACTGCCAGGGGTTTGGTCAGCTTTGTGGCTGGATAGCTAGTTTGCGATGCACAGTGATGCCAATAGTATGGGTTCAATACCTAATCTGGATGGGGTCACCGTGAAGCTCCTGCTTTCTCAACCTTGCCCGTCAGGTTAAACTCTCCAACAGTTATCTCTGTCTGTCTGAGGAAGCAGCTCAGTGGTCCTCTGGCATTTGTACCTCTCTCTCCTGCCATCTCAATGTCCAAGTGGCTTCCTTTTATATATACATAATGCTATAATTGATTCTACTCTGAGGAAAAAAGGGCAACAGTTGGAAGAGTAAATATGTTTATAAATGTTTTGGAAGACTATAGTCGGAACTGGAACAAGATCAGACTCCAATACAAGTAAACAGATGAATGTAGAGATTCTAGTGACCCCAGTTTAGAAGGTTCACCAAGGATGATTCAACTACCTTGAACAAATCCAGTAAATGGGAACCTTGCAGTTACTCCAAATAGTCTGAAGGATACATATGGTTGCATCTTTATCTTGCACTCATGACATTTACAAGAATGCCAATGTAAAGAACACCAACATTTCATTCTATATGAGAAAAGTGCGTGATTGGCAAGTAGTCTCTGATTGGAAGAGGTGTTGCCTGGGAGAATGCACCAGTTAAATGACAGCTGACTATTAACTGTTTAAATTTAAAGTCTAGCAGGTTGACTGATTAGGGAATTGACCTTGAAGGATCCAGAGAATGGCTGTTGCCTGTTTTGTTAAATTGAAACAGTGCATAACAACAGTCAGGATTGTTTAGCAAATGTTATCAAATAATTGGAATCTTAATGTTGAGTTTTCCAAGTGTGGGCTGGAAGGATACGGTCAGTAACTTGCCTGTTGTGAACTGCTGAAGAGACATGCTGATTGTTACAATTTGGCAGTCTTGGGGTTGTCTGACATTGGTATTCTTGCAAATTTCCTGATGTATGGAAAAAAAACAGCAATACATAATCTGAAGGACTGGCATCAATTGATCACAAAGCTTAACAAATATTTTGAAAACATCATTGAATTAGGATGTTTCTGTGTATAAATGATCGTGACTTTTCTTGAACTTCCCCCTTGCTCTTTTTCATCCCCAATGCTGTTTTTCAATTGGAAAATAGTGAGGGTAGAATCCAGAAGGACAGACAGTCATAGTAGGGAGAACCCTGCCCCTTCCCTCCACCTTAGAAATTAAGTCTAGATGGAAAGGTCCATCTTTGACCTCCTAACCCAGTGCTATTTAAGGCCCTTTAGTGGTCAATTAATGACCATGTAAGCATCTCATCTCACATGACTGCTTATTTTGTTTCCAGCAGTTTGTTGTGATTCTCCATCTGGGGTCTTGGGGTGATATTTCAGCAGCAACCATGGCCTTTCATGGTTCTGCTGAGCTCTGGATGCCAGCCTTTGATTTAGCTGACATCTCCAAGTGGGCAATTCCTCCTGCTCCAGTTTTGTAATTATGGTCGTGAGCTTTCAGACAGCTTATCAGTTGACCTGATTGATATTTACTCTAGAGGGCTTTGTGAACAAGGTAGGCCGCTGGTTTCTCTGTACGGAACTTTGCCTGTTTTGGATTTAATCCTCAGAGGGAAAAATCTCACTTTTTTTTCTATTAATTTGTAACAAATGGTATTAACCTTTCAAGGATCTTTCTATTCTATTATGATGCACATGCAGCTTATATTTTAGGGAATTAATATTACTCTTGTAACTGCCTGCACTACCAAAATTCAATATATATGTATCCTGTAGTAGTGCCTGATTGAAAACCAAGCCTGCACTGCTTAACATAAATATACTTGCACTGGACATCATTCTTTGAAATTGTTTCTGCTTTCCAAATCTTTTATAAAAAAAAAACATCAGGTCAGCAATTTGTTCCAACAGAGAATGTATTTTCCCAAGGAGCTAATTTTTATGTTAACAACATCATTCGAGGTTTCACCAATATGGTTTGAAGTGACGGAGCAGAAAGCACTTAGCTTTTGGACTGATAGAAGCATTAATTTAAGACTAATACTTCTGAAGTACATGGTTACTGACCTCAGACAATGAATGCCATCGCCATCTTTGGCAAGACCCATCCCCTATTTGGCTTTTAGAATTCTACCTTTTTGAATTGAGTATTTAAAGATATTTTGCATCTTACTCACCCAAGGAGGCTCATTGAAATCTGTAAATTTGGGGTGAGAAAGAAAATATATTGTAATCCTTTTTTTTAATACTACCTGAACAGATTATTTGACATATTTTGTGTCCAAAAGATGATATTTTAGTATTTTTGCTAGTTTTGTCTTAGATTTCAAAATATGGCTTAATCCTGAATGTGTTAAAATTGGACACCCTCATGGAGTTATTTTTCATAGCATATTTTCTTAGCATTTGCATACCACCAAACACTTGTTTGACCGATCTGAAATTATTCTGTTGCTTAAGATTCTGGGTGTGTCTTTTTAAGTTGTAAATATCAATGAGTGTATAAAATGTTAAGCATGGAAACAGACTATTCAGTTCCACTGGTTTGTTAGTGCTGCACACAACCATCTTTCAACCTATTCAGTTGCATAAATTAGAAATCCTTTTTCACTGCTGTTGTTTGTGTTAGATTTAAATAGTTCTTGAAGAAACCTGCTGTAAATAGCAGTCAGTCATGAAAATTGGTCATTTTGGTGATCTCATTGGAATTTCATACATTTATTATACACTTTGTGATGGCTTGTGAAACAGTGTGTTTATTGGCGCACACTTCTCATCTTGGGCATTGGGTGCTGAAGTTGATTCAATCAAGCATTTCATAAGTTATTTCACCTTATGTTCAATGTTATGATTCTGAAATAAGATGGTTTTGTGCTTAACCAATTTCTAGATTGTCTGGATGGCTGCCAGAGAGCCAAAGAACACGCTTGTTTCCTTCATGTCAGTTTTTATATCCTTTGAAGGTTCTTGATTTTATTTGTTTTGATTTTGGGGGGAAATTGTCAGCTTCCCTTAAGCATCCAAGTTTGTGACCTTGGTCACATTGTCTCTTATCATTTATTAATTGTCAAATTGGAGCCCATGCAAGTAAACTGAAAGTAAAGATGAAGGCATCCCAACTGTTGGTTGGGCTTATAATTAACTGAAAATTCTGTTATGATCCAAGAATGAAGTATTTTTGACGGTATTTTCCATACCCAAAATTGATGAGAAGGCAGTAAACAGTTTACAATGTTTGATCTGATGTCCATTTTGTTTTCTGTCAATGTGACCAGTGCTGAGTTCTGTATTTAGTTTTTAAGGTTTATGCCCACAGGTTGATCCTTGTAAATTTCTTTTGGTGTGATCACTTCATTTCATCTACCTCCTGACAAACACTACAATATTTGGGCCTTGATTACCTTCTGTGGTAGTGAATTCCACAGGCTCACCTGTGTCTGGATGAAGTGTCTCCTCATCTCCGTCTTAAAAGGTTTACCCCCTTATCCTTAAACTATGAATCATGGTCCAGCACACCCCATCATTGGGAGCACCCTTCCTGCATCTAATCCTGTTAGAATTTTATAGGTTTCTGTAAGATTCCCCCCACCCCTTCATTCTTGTAAACCTTAGTGAATAAAATCCTAACTGACTCAATCTCTCCTCATGCGTCAGTCCTGGCATCCCAGGAATCAATTTGGTAAATCTTCGCGGCACTTCCTCTATAGCAAGAACATCCTTCCTCTGATAAGGAGACCAAAACTAAACACAGTATTCCAGTTGTGGCATCACCAATGCCTTATATAATTGCAGCAAGACATCCTTGTTCCTGTACTTAAATTCTCTCACTATGAAGGCCAACATACAGTTTGTCAGCTTTACTGCTAGCTCTACCTGCGTGTTTATTTTTTAGCAGATCTTGTTGAACATTATCCTTTCAATTTACAACCATTCAAATAATCTGTCTTATTGTTTTTGCTACCAAATTGGATAAAATCACATTAATCAAAACTATGCTGCATTTGCCATGCATTTGCATACTCACCCAGCCTGTCCAAATCACATTGCAACATCTCTGCATCCTCCTCAAAGCTCAGCTTTCCACCGAGCTTTGTGTCAATGGAAAAATCCAGTAAGATATCCGGTCTCGATTGCAAATTAGTAGTCCTTGCTTGAAAATATTAGTACGTAGACATTAGGTGATAACAGAATTGAGCTTTGAGGTGTCTACCGTATATTAGCATTCCAAGACTTGTCAAGTATTGGAAATTTGTCAGTCTTTGTGGGACCATGTTGCAGCATGGAACCAACATTCGAGGAGCAGCAAAGATCTGAAGAAATAAAGATAAACAAATTCTATTGAAAGAATTTAGGTATGTTTTCCTCTGTCTTGACGAGAGTTGCTGAACTTTCACCCTCAAGAATAGATTATGGAATGTATAAAGGAGAAGCCTTGAAATTGTATGCAGAGG